GGGGGCCGTGGCCGGGCTGGGGCATGGGGGCGGCCGGCCCGCCGCTCCCTCTCCTCGGCACGGCCATTTTCTCCCCCTGCCCAGCCCCCCGGGACGGCTGGGGTCCCGGGGCCTCCCCGGAGCCCTGGAGGCCGTAACTAGGCGTTTGGGTTTCCAGCTCAAGCCCAGGGCCCAGCTTCCCCTTTCCCGGCCAGCGCTTCCCCTCCGCCCGGGCCCTGTCACACGCCGCCTCCGGGGCCCGCCCCGCGCCCGGTGCGCCCCGGGCGGGTCAGGGCGGCGGGGTCTCCGCCTCGCCTGCGGAAGAAGCGGTGGCTCGGTGGGTGACGAACGCCGCCGAGCACACGGCCGAGGAGGCCTGTGTGTGTGCGCGCGCCCGCGCCCGCCGTGCCGGGCCTGGGGCTTGAACTCGGTCTGGCACTGTCTCTGTACGTCCCTTGCTCAAGGCTAGTCCTCTACCATTTTTTTTTAATTGTGAAAATACCGTACAGGGGGGTTACACACGAGCAAGGTAATGAGTGCATTGCGTATCACGCATTGTTGCTTCCTCCTTTTTCCCCTTCCCATCCCTTCCCATCTCCCCCCCCCCCCCCCCCCCCGATTTGAGTCCCAACTCCACTTTGGGCTTTCTGGTGGTTTAATTGGAGATTGTACCTTCACAGACTTTCCTGATAAGGCTGGCTTTGAACTACCCTCCTTAGATCTCAGCTTCCTGAGTAGCTAGGATTACAAGCCTGAGCCACCGGTGTCCAGCTAAAGGCTACCCTTTGGGAGCTTAGATTCTATCTGGTGACTGATGCCTGGAAGCCTAGCTACTCAGGAAGCCGAGATCTGAGGATAGCAGAAAGCAGCGGAGGCCAGTCAACGCAACGATTTCGTCTCCAAAATAAGCAGCAAAAAGGTGGATTGGGGGCTGGAAATGGGGCTTATTGGGAGAGTGCTTGCCTAGCATGCCTAGCCCTGGAGTTCCACATTAAACAGAGAAAGCTGGAAGTGACACTGTGGATCAAATGGTAGAGTGCTAGCCTGAGCAAAATAAGCTCAGGGACAGTGCCCAGGCCCTGAGTTCAAGACCGAGGACTGGTTAAAAAAAAAAAAGTGGGGGGAGGGGCTAGGAAGGTGGCTCAGTGGTAGAGTGCTTGCCTTGCATGCATGAGGCCCTGGGTTTGATTCCTCCGCACCACACAAGCAAACAGAAAAAAGCCGGAAGTGGCGCTGTGACTCAAGTGGTAGAGCACTAGCCTTGAGCTGAAGAGCTGAGGGACAGCACCCAGGCCCAGAGTTCAGGCCCCACGACCGGACCCCCCAAAAAATAGGCACCCGTGGCTCACACCTATAATCTTAGCTGCTCAGGAGGCTGAGATCTGAGGATATGGTTCAAAGCCAGCCTAGGCAGGAAAGTCTGTGAGACTCTTCAATAAACCACTAGAAAACCAGAAGTGGTGCTGTGGCTCAAGTGGTAGAGCGCTTGCCTTGAGCTGAAAAGCACAAGGACAGCACCCAAGCCTAGAGTTCAAGCCCTACAACCGACCAAAAAAGAAAAAAAGCAGATATAGCAGTTAATATACAAATTGCTTTCGTAAATACCATGTTTCCCTTCATCTGGCTCGTGCCTAACCTACTGAAGGCAGTCTATATCGCCACAGATTTGAAAACAAGCTAAGGGAAAAAGTGATGTCTTGGTTAAAGACATAAAGCCAGGAAGTGAAGAACTGAAAAGTTCATTCTTGGAATCTGATTGTAGCTTGAGGGGAGGTATCCTGACTCAGGTGATCTTTGCCTGTTTCTGTGGTGAAACCTCTTCCTTTCCCCACCCCCGCTAGAGGTGGGTTTGGAAGCGATGACTTCTCCCCCCACTAGAGAAGGGAGGAGTAAAGATAGAAAACACATAAATAACCTTAAGGCCAGGTGTTGTGCCTCAAGACTTTAATCCTAGCTATTCCACAGAGGCTAAGATCTAAAGGATTACAATACAAGGCCACCCTAGACAGAAAGTGCAGTAGACTCCAAAATAACAAAAAGCAGAGCTGGAGGTATGGCTCAAATGGTAGAACACCAACCAAATGAACAAGCAAGCAAGCTGAGCAAGAGCAAGGCCTTGAGTTCTAACCCCACTACCAAAAAAACCCAAAAAAAACAAATACTAACTTTAAGAACCTAGTAAAAAATAAAATACAGGTGCCAGTGGCTCATGCCTGTAATTGAAAAAAAAATACAGTTTTGAAAAATTGAGAAGTGGTCAGTATTTTTTATTTATTTTTTGTTGATTGTGAGACTTGAACTCAGGGTCTGGGTGCTGTTCCTGAGCGCTTCTGCTCAAGCCTAGTCTCCACTTCCAGTTTTCTGGTGATCAGTTGGAGATAAGAGTCTCACAGGGACTTTTCAGCCCAGTCTGGTTTGGAACTGTGATCCTCAGTCCTCAGCTTCCTGAGTAGTTAGTATTATGAGTATGAGCTACTAGTGCCTGGTGGGCTTATCTTTATTTTTATTTATTTTTCAATTTTTTTGTCAGTGGTGGGGCTTGAACTCTGGGCCTGGGCGCTGTCCCTCAGCTCTTCAGCTCAAGGCCAGTGCTCTACCACTTGAGCCACAGTCCCACTTCTGGCTTTCTGGTGGTGGTTAATTGGAGATAAGAGTCTTTCAGACTTTTGAAACGAGATCCTCTGATCTCAGCTTCTTGAGTAGCTAGGATTACAGCCTTGAGCCACAGTGCCACTTTGGGCTTTTTCTGTTCATGCAGTGCTGAAGAATCGAACCCAGAGCCTCATGCATACAAGGCAAGCACTCTACCACTGAGCCTACTTCCCAGCCCCATAATTTAAAATTTTGATACTGGACATGTTTAATAACCAGATTGCAAAATCCAAATTTAACTGTTGAGTTTGTGTGTGTGTGTGTGTGTGTGAGAGAGAGAGAGAGAGAGAGAGAGAGAGAAAGAGAGAGAGAGAGAAAGAGAGGGAGGAAGGGAGGGAGGGAGGGAGGGGTGGATACTTAAGTTTGAACTAAAGACCTCACATTGTTAGGCTGTGGATCATGATCTTCCTATTTCTGCTGGGATGGCAAGTGTAAGCTGTCATGCTCAGCTGTTGGTTGAGATGAAGTCTTGATAACTTTGTGCTCAGGCTGACCTCCAGTTGCAATCCTCCTAATCTCTACTTCCTGAGTGGCTGGGATTACAGGGATGAGCTACTGCTTCTGGCCAGTCATTGGTTTTTGTGATCTCTTAATAGCCAGGTCTTCTGGATCACTGTGACCTCCCTTTCCCCCTCCCCTTCCTCTAGCTAATCTTGGGCAAGTTGCTTTTTTTTTTCTTTTGGAGGAATGCTGTGTAGTTGTGTGACACAGTGATACCTACTGTCTCTCTTCTGCTTCTGCTCTTTCTGGCTTGCCCACAGGCCTACCATTCTTCTCTCATGGACCCAGACACCAAGCTCATTGGCAACATGGCACTGCTGCCTATCCGAAGTCAGTTCAAAGGACCTGCCCCTCGTGAGAGTAAGTACGAGCCATTATCGTCAAGATGGGGTTATCAAATCAGGGCACTTCGCAGCTCAGTCCTGTCTTGTATTGTTCCTGGAGTCCTGGGACAGTGAGACTTAAGAAACCATCGCGAGGGTTCAGGGGGACTTGGGGGCTCTTCCTCAGGACGCGATTTCTCTCCAGCCAGCTTCTTTCAGTGTTGTGTGTATGCCAGGCACTTTTCTAGGTTCGGAATCCTTTGCCTCCTGTCATTGTGTTTAAAGAAACTAGCTGGGTTTTATAAATACTTGAATCCTTGGTGGATGCTTCCTTTTCTAAGAAAATGGATTGCAGGCAACACAGAAGAAGGGTGGGATGGAACTCTTCAGCGGGTGAATAACTGGCGTTGAAGAGAGCTGACCTGCAGAGAGACAAGCAGCTGAGCTCCAGGTTTTTCATTTCTGCTATGTGACAGGGACAGCCCGGCCTGGCCCAGCCTGGCCAGCTCTCTGGACGGCCTTCATGAACAAGAAATAGAAATAACCATCTTGGCGTGCTGGAGCCAGCTGCCGGATATCAAACCCTGGGATTTTGACCTTACAAAAATGCAAAACAGCGAACAAAAATTTGCCAGAGCACTTGTGCCATGAGATCTGTCTCTGTCACGCAGTGTTTCTGGGTTTTCTCAGCCTTGCCGAACAGCTTGTTCAAGTATATTTAAGTCAGAGTTTTCACACACAAAAAAAGATACACATCTGAACCTGATGTGTCCCTAAATGACCAAGAGTTCTCTTGAAACTACAGCATATCAGTTCACGTAAAATTATATTGAATTTGTTTAGAGATTTTTTTCCTTTTCTTTTCTTTTTTTTTTTTTGTCGGTTGTGGGGCCTGAACTCTTGGCCTGGGCACTGTTCCTCAGCTCTTTAGCTCAAGGCTAGTGCTCTAACACTTGAGTCATAGCACCACTTCTGGCTTTTTCTGCTTATGTGGTGCTGAGGACTCGAACCCAGGGCCTCATGCATGCGAGGCAAGCACTCTTCAACCAAGCCACCTTCCCAGCTCCGATTTTTTCTTTTTTTAAACACTCATTAAAATTAACCTAGCTCAGTCTGTTTTATAAAAGTATCAAGAGGTCTTTAATGAGAATTACTAAATGATAATATTGTTTCTAGCTGGGCACTGGTGGCTCATGCCTGTAAACCTAGCTACTCACAAGGCTGAGATCTAAGAATCACAATTTGAAGCCAGGTTGGATAGGAAAATCTGTGAGATCATCATCTCCAGGTTAGCCACCAGAAAATCAAAAATGGAGCTGTGGGTCAAAGTGATAGGGCATTAGCCTTAAATGAAAAGTCTCAGAGACAGCGCCCTGGCCCTAAGTTTAAGTGCTGTGACTGACCTCCTCCCCTCCCCCCCAAAAAAAAGTTTCTTGATTTAAGGTGCAGGTCGATTTTTTTAAATTTTAACTAATCTTTCTAATAAGCATGCATAATTTTTACAAAAACAAGCTGAAAATATAGCACATACTTTTTTTTTTTTTTGCCAGTCCTGGGGCTTGAATTTAGGGCCTAGGCACTGTCTCTGAGCCAAGGCTAGCACTCTACCACTTAAGTCAGTGTGCCACTTCCAGCTTTTTCTGTTTATGTGGTACTAAGGAATCAAACCCAGGGTTTCATGCATGCTAGGCAAGGACTCTACCACTAAGCCACATTCCCAGCCTAATTTATTTTTCGTAGAAGTAGTTTTCAAAGACTATATTTCAGTGTCCTCATTTTAGCTAACTCCCAAACTTTTGACAGTCAGTCCTGGGTGGATTTTATTTATAGCTTTTGTAGGGTTCAGGATTTACATTTGGTTAACATCTGCCTTTCTTCTCCTCCCTTATGTCCTGCTCAGCAAAAGACACAGACATCGTGGATGAAGCAATCTATTACTTTAAGGCCAATGTCTTCTTCAAAAACTATGAAATTAAAGTAAGTTACAGAGCTTATAATATTTAACTTTGGCTGGGAAGTTGGCTCAGTGGTAGAGTGCTTGCCTCACATTCATGAGGCCCTGGGTTCGATTCCTCAACACCACATAAGCAGAAAAAAGCTGCAAGTCGCACTATGGCTCAAGTGGTAGGGTGCTAGCCTTGAGCTGAAGAGATGAGAGACAGCGCCCAGACTCAGAGTTCAGCACCTACAACTAACAAAAAAAAAAAAAAAGAAGAAAAAAGCCATTTAACTTTGTTTTCACATGGAGATAATATCCACGTTAGTCAGAATAAATAAAACCGAATAAGACAGCGCCTAAATGTTAAGACTGCATAAGTATTAGATTTTTTTCATTCCCCTTGGATGTCTTTACCAAAGGTTGGCCAAATGTGTCATGGTCTTTATTTGTAAATAAAGTTTTATTGGAACACAGCCCCACACATTTGTTGATAAAGTTGTCTATAGCTGCTCTCTCTCAGTAACAGCTACTAGAGAGTTGTGGCCGAGACCTTGTGGTCCACCAGAGCCACCATTTATTTCCCATCAACTTCTGGTCCAGATAGGTTTTCATATGTCCAACAGTGACGGAGCCATACTATGAGTCCATCCCGTGCTAGGTTATGACTAGTCCCCGGAGCCCTACATGCAGGGTATGCATTTCATCCCATGCATTGGTGGCACAAGTCTGAGGGGTAGAGGCAGCACCCCGGCCCTCTCCTGAGCCTCCTTTTCTCCCCTTTGCTCTCAGCCCCATGAGGGGGTCATAAAAGGAGGAGCTGGGGAAGTAAAGGTTTTCCTGCTAGGAGCAGCTACAACGAGTGCAGGCTGTCTTTCTGTAATCGTGAGCAGGTGACACCTACTGTGGATTGCCAGACTGACTTTCTGCAGTCCAACGGATCTAGAACCTTCATCTGTGGGCTAGATGCACCCTGAGGGGTGGAGGACTTGGGCCAGGTGTCGCACCACCTCCTTTGTCCTGTCCACTGGCCTTCCTCCTGTGGGCAGGCTCCTCGGCCCTCTCATGTGACCAGTGTCCCAGGTCCTCTTCCGTTTCCTTTAGATTTCGTTAGATATTAGACTTGGAGCATTGTTGCAGAGCACCCCAGGTGCGGAGTAATTGCTCCTCCTGTTGAGTAAAGAGCAGATCTAGCCAAAGGGCTTTTTATTACTAGCCGACCTGCAGGCCTTGGGTTTCCAGGCAGCTTTCTTCATTCTCCCGTTGCCCAGGGAGAGGCCCAGGCACAGGACAACCGCACAACATCAGGGAAGCCGGGTGCCAGCTAGGGGAGGCTGGGGAGGATTGCATGGCGGGCAGTGCTCCCTGACCCTGGGCTGGGCTGGGCTGGGCTAGGCTGGGCAGGGCAGGGCAGGGCTGGGCAAGGCTGGGTAGGACAGGGCTGGGCAGGGCAGAGCATCGCGGCAGGGCAGGGCAGGGCAGGGCAGGGCAGGGCAGGGCAGGGCAGGGCTGGGCAGGGCTGGGCTGGGCTGGGCTGGGCTGGGCTGGGCTGGGTGGTTCTAATACATAATCAAAAGGCAACAGATGAATGAATCCTGTGTTCACTAGGACTGTTTTTTTTCCTTTCCCCCTGCAGAATGAAGCTGATAGAACCTTGATATATATAACTCTCTACATTTCTGAGTGTCTAAAGAAACTCCAAAAGGTAATTAAACATCAAGGATCACACGTCGAGAAAGCTGCTGGGATTGGTCCGAGACCATTGGTGCCAGGAGAAGTGTTTCCTTTACTTTGAATTTGGTCTCCTGGAAATCCGGATGGAGAGAGAGAGAGAGAGAGTGTGAGAGAGTGTGTGTGTGTGTACGCGTGTGCCAGGCTTGGGGCTTGAACTCGGGGCCTGGGCGCTATCCTTGAGTTTTTTTCACTTAAGGCCAGCATTCTACCACTTGAGCCAGGGCTCCACTTCGGCTTTTGTGGTGATGAATTGGAGATGAGAGTCTCATGGACTTTGCGCCCAGCCGCCTCTCGTCCCATGGCTGGGACCGCAGCTCCCTCTGTGACCTCACGGTACAGTTGACGGACATGAAGAAAGAAAGGACAGGGTGTTGGAAGGCTCAGCATCCGTTTTTTTCTTTTTCTGTTTTGTATATGATTTTTATTATAAAGATACTGTACAGAGGGGTTCCAGTTATGAGTAATGAGCACACTTCCTCTCGAGCATTCTTACCTCCTCCTTTGTTTTCCCCTACCATCCCTTCCCTCCCTTAACATGTTTTTTTCACTTTAAAGTCTGCATTTACTTCCATCTTTAATGTAGACAGTAGTTCAGAGCTATTCAGAACCATTCTTGGCTTTTCCTCTTGCAGAAATCATATTGTTTTTACCTTGCTCTAGACTTGGAGATGTTTTAAAATTTGTTGACTCACATTACTATTTCAAGATTTAGTTCAGCTGGGCACCGGTGGCTCACGCCTGTAATCCTAGCTACTCAGGAGGCTGAGATCTGAGGATCGCAGTTCGAAGCCAGCCCAGGCAGGAAAGTCTGTGAGACTCTTATCTCTAATAAACCACCAGAAAACCGGAAGTGGCACTGTGGCTCAAGGGATAGAGCACTTGCCTTGAGCTGAAGAGCTGAGGGACAGCGCCCAGGCCCCAAGTTCAAGCCCTATAACTGACAAAAAAAATCAAGAAACCCCACATATGTCATCCTTCGCCCTGGAGATTGAGTTCTCACGCGGTGTCTTGTTTTCAGTGCAACTCCAGAAGCCAGGGCGAGAAGGAGATGTACACGCTGGGAATCACCAACTTCCCCATCCCCGGCGAGCCTGGGTTTCCCCTCAATGCCATTTACGCCAAGCCTGCGACCAAACAGGAGGACGGTGAGGGCGGGGTTGTTGTGCTTGCAAAGACTGGGTGGGGGCACAGACTGGAAGGAGACTGTTGAGGGGAACCACGTGGGCCATTCATGTGCTGGGCTTTCCCAGGGGTGCTTGCCAGCGAGCAAGACCTTCAGAGCCTTTGAGCCAAAGATAATGTAGATGGGAAACCCCTGGCACCCTGCTCTTTCCGTCTCCTGCGTGGATGTATGTAGATGCCGCGCGCGCAGCCCGTTCTGAAAGCAGCATGTTCCTCTGTTGTAGAAGTGATGCGGGCCTACCTCCAGCAGCTCCGCCAAGAGACGGGACTGCGGCTCTGTGAGAAAGTGTTTGACCCCCAGAACGATAAGCCCAGCAAGGTGAGGTTCCTCTTGCACGCTATGAACTTGGGAAATCTTGTGCCTCATTACCCACAATGAGCCTGTGGCAGGACTTTGGGTTTCTGTAGGTCAGCATTGCTGACCTGGGGTGACTTCGGAGCGGGGCGCACTGAACAATGAAGTGTGTCTGAGGAGGCCATTTTAAATTAGGCAGGGGAGCTGTGCACCATAGCTCACACCTGTAATCCTAGTTGCTCAGGAGGCTGAGATCTCAGGATCATGGTTCGAAGCCAGCTGGAGCAGGAAATTCCATGAGACTTTTTTTTTTTTGGTCATGGGGCTTGATCTCTGTGCCCGAGTGCTGTCCCTGAGCTCTTCAGCTCAAGGCGAGTGCTCTACCAATAGAGCCACAGCGCCACTTCTGGTTTTCTGGTGGTTAATTGGAGATAAGAGTCTCATGGACTTTCCTGCCCTGGCTGGCTTTGAGCCTCCTCAACCTCCTGAGTAGCTAGGATTATAGGTGTGGTGTGTCGACACTCAGCTCAGTAGAGACTCTTATCTTCAATTTATCACAGAAAAAGCCAGACATGGCAGCTATGGCTCATGTGGTAGATTGCTAGCCTTGTGTAAAAGAAGCTCAGAGACATTGCCAAGGCCCTGAATTGAAGCCTAAGGACTGGCAAAAAAATAAAAATGAGGTAGGAGAGAGCGAGGTAATAGGTTTTTAGTGTGTGATATCTTGGGTATGTGGTCAGACTAGTAGTAGCCACCGGGACTGCTATTATGTTTAAGTACTTGGGAGGGTTTTGTTGTAGTTTGTGTGCCAATAGTGGAGCTAGGATTACAGGTGTGAGCCACTAGCTTCTGGCTTGGTGATTTTTGTTTTGGTGCCACTGGGGATGGAACCTCAGGCTCATCAGACATCTTACACCCGTGAGTCTAGGCAAGTTGATAACAGCTTCTGGACTAACACTAAACGCTTGTGAGTTCCGACCTTCCCTTGAAATTGCATTGTGATTTGACTTTGGCGTCTGTTTTGTCCCTTCTTCCCCCTCAGTGGTGGACTTGCTTTGTGAAGAGACAGTTCATGAACAAGAGCCTTTCAGGACCTGGGCAGTGAGGGCGCTGGCCACAAGGTCCCTTCGCTTTGATTCCTTTGTGCTTGGCTTTGTGTGGAAGAGAGGAGAGAGCATGGCTGTCCTTGAAAAACGTCCTGATCGAATATCCTGGGGGAAGGAGAGAGGGTGGGTTCTCTGGGGTGATTGGCCATCTTCTATAGGTTTAAGCTGATGTTTAATAATAAGTGCTAATAAAGACATTTTTTAACATTTCACACCAGAAAAACTTATTTTTGGCTGGCCTTGGGTTTTGGAACTCTGGATCTGGGCAGTGTCCCTCAGCTCTTCAGCTCAAGGCTAGCGCTCTATCACTTGAGCCGCAGCACCACTTCCAGCTTTTTCTGCTTATGTCCTGCTAAGGAATCAAACCCAGGGCCTCATGCTGAGATCTAAGGATTGCAGTACAAAGCCAGCCCAGGCAGGAAAGTCTGTGACACTCTTATCTCCAATGAACCACCAGAAAATGGGAAGTGGCACTGTGGCTCAAGAGGTAGAGCACTAGCCTTGAGCTGAAGAGCTCCGTGTCAGCGCCCGGGCCCAGAGTTCAAACCCCACAACTGATCAAAGAAAAAAAAAGTCTCATGGACTTTCCTGCCCAGGCTAGCTTTGAACCCCATCCTCAGATCTCAACTAGGGTCTTAGCTAGGATCACAGGCGTTGGGATTCTTCATATATTCATAGAGCCAGTCCCTAATCTGGTATGTGATTTTCAAGCTTCCTTCATTTTATGGGCTTAATTGTCCATGTACTATTCTAAAAAAAGTTTTCTTATGCAAACTTGGGTGTGTTTTGTTTTTAAAATTTAATTGAAATTCTTATCTTGGGGTTTGAGTTGAAAGTCTGTTGTGGACTCATAGACCTGAGAAAAAGGGAAAGGAAGGAAGACAAGGGAGCCAAGGTGACTCATTTCCAGATTAAAGGTTTGTTTTCTGACTCCCCACCCCACCACTTCAAATTGTGAACCCCTTTGATAGAACAAGTCACCCTACGATTTGTTCCCTTAATGACCAGCAGGGGGAGCTTGGGTACCAGAAACAGCTGCAGACAATGTGGATAAATGGAGACAGCGGGTTGCCTTCTGTGTCATACATGTAATTCAGATATGTTTGTTTATTATTAGTTATGGGGCTTGAACTCAGGGCCTGGGTGCTGTCCCTGAGTTCCTTTACTCAAGGGAGTGCTCTATCACTTTGAGCCACAGCTCCACTTAGGGTTTTGGAGTGGTCAGTTGGAGGTAAGAGTCTCACAGGGACTTTTCAGCCCTGGCGGCTTTGAACTGTGATCCTCAGTTTTCAGCCTCCTGAGTAGCTAGGATTACATGTGTGAGCCACTGGTGCCAGGTTCATGCATTTTTTTCTTTAAAAAAAATTTAATAAGTTTTTTTATTGTGAAAATACCATACAGAGAGGTTACAATTACATGAGCAAGGTAATAAGTACAAGGTAATAAGTACATTGTTGCCCCCTCCTTTTTCCCCTATCATCCCTGCCCTCCCATCTCCACGACTACGCTTCCTCCACCCCGCATTTCTTGATATGGAGGACATTCCTATTTTGATAAGGGGTTAGAGTGCAGTGATAGAATACACGTTCAGTATGCATGAGCCCTGGTTCAATCCTTACTACTACACAATAAAAAAACTTCTCTTGATAGCTGGGGTCGGGAGGGAAAAACGGAGACAGCAAGAGAGAAGGGGTAACACTGTCCAACAATAAATGTATTCATTATCTGACTTGTGTAACTAACTCCTCTGTACATCATCTTTTTTTTTTTTTTGCCGGTCATGGGGCCTGAACTCTGGGTCTGGGCGCTGTCCCTCAGCTCTTCAGCTCAAGGCTAGCGCTCTACCACTGGAGCCACAGTGCCGGCTTTTTCTGTTTATGTGGTGCTGAGGAATCGAACCCAGGGCCTCATGCTTGCAAGGCATGCACTCTACTGCTGAGCTACCTTCCCAGCCCTGTACATCATCTTTTTAATAACAATTAAAAAAATGATCAATAGAGCTGGGTGCTGGTATCTAGGTACTTAGGAGGCTGAGATCTGAGAATCATGGTTTGAAGCCAACCTGGATAGAAAAGTCTGTGAGACTCAGCCACCTTCCCAGCCCTGAAGATTTTTTTTTTTTTTGGTGGGTTGTGGGGCTTGAACTCTGGGCCTGGGCACTGTCCCTCAGCTCTTCAGCTCAAGGCCAGCGCTCTACCACTTGAGCTACAGCGCCACTTCCGGTTTTCTGGTGGTTTATTGGAGATAGGAGTCTCACAGTCTCTCCTGCCCGGGCTGGCTTTGAACCATGATCCTCAGATCTCAGCCTCCTGAGTAGCTAGGATTACAGGAGTGAGCCACCAGCGCCCGGCTTGAAGATCTTTTTTTAAAGAAGTACATAATGGGACTGAGAAGGTGGCTCAGTGGTAGAGCGCTTGACTTGCATGCATGAGGCCATGGGTTCGATTCCTCAGCACCACATAAGCAAAAAGAAAAAAGCCAGAAGTGGTGCTGTGGCTCAAGTGGTAGAGCGCTAGCCTTGAGCTGAAGAGCTGAGGGACAGCGCCAGGCCCAGAGTTCAGACACCACGACCAGACCCAAAAAAAAAAAAAAAAGTGCATAAACATTGAAGCTACATCCAGAAAGTGACACAAAAGCCATTTGGTTTGCTTCCTTGGGTTTTGTTTATAGATGTGCAGAAGACAATTCCATTTAGAGGGGGTAATTTAAGGGCCGCATCTGCTCTGTGTTAACGTTGAGATAAACCATTCATTGTAATTTTCCACTTTGCTTTAACTCTGCAGCAGCAGTTTTCAGGTAAGCAGGCAGTGTGCTGCCCATCTGACACTTTTTAATCCTATTTAACCCTTAGAAAAACCTCAGGTTACAGACACAAGACTATCCACTTTTTGCCACGTGCCAGTGGCTCACGCCTATAATCCTAGCTTCTCAGAGGCTGAGATCTGAGGAGTCAGGTAGAAAAATATGTGAGACAGTGTGCTTTAAAAGATAGCAAATACAGATGTTAAAACAAACAAACAAAAAATCTGTGAGACTCATCTCTAGTTAGCCACCAAAAAAAGGCAGAAGTAGGATCTGTGGCTCACGTGGTAGGGCACCAATCTTGAACAAAAAAACTCAGGGAGAATTTCCAGGCCCTTGAGTTCAAGCCCCAGGATGGGCACAAAAATAAAAATCTTTACAGATGGCAGTTTATCTGGGATGAGCATATCTCTGTTGCAGGGGAGTTAAATGGTGAAATTTGTTCCCTTCAGGTGTTAAGACATTTGTCAGAAATTTCTACCAAGCAGACACTTATGGGATGTTAAGTAATGTTTCCCTTGGAGCAATTTGTATGTTGTTGTATTTCCTCCTCCCCTACAAGAAAGACAGATCTAAGAAAGCTATGTAGCACATCTGGGAGAGATTTTCCTCTTAGGAGGGTGTGGGATGTTTGGAGAAGAGGTGGTGCAGAGCACTGACATTTATAAATCGCTCTTCTAATGTTTTTCCTCAACCCTCAAGAGACCCACTTCCTTCTGCATCTATGACCGGGCTTACCAAGAGTTCGTGGCCAATAAAAGAACATCCCTCCCAGCTCCAAAATTCTCACTTTGGTTGTTTGTTTTGTGCTGGTCCTGGGGGCTGGGCCTGGGCGCTGTTCCTATGCTTTTGTGCTCAGGGTGAGCACTCTACCACTTGAGCCACAGCTCCATTTTGTGCTTTTTGGTTGTTAATTGGAGAGGAGAGTCTTAACGGACTTTGGTGCCCAGGCTGGCTTTGAACGGTGGTCTTCAGATCCCAGCCTCCTGAGTAGCTAGGATTACAGGCGTGAGCCACCAGGGCCCAGCTCCAAGTTGTCATTTTAGAAGATGGTTCTACAAAGAAGAAAAACCTTTAGCCACGCGCAGAAATCTCTTGTGTATTCCAAGTGAATGTTATCTATGCCCTTGTTGGTATAACATTCATGTCAGGTGCAGGTGGCTTCCACCTGTAATCCTAGCTACTCAGGAGGCTGAGACCTGAGAATGACATGAAGCCAGCCCAGACAGGAAGGTCGTGAGACTCTTACTTCCACCTAGCCACCAAAAAGCCAGAAGTGGAGCCAGTGCTAGAACAGCAGCCCTGGTCAGAAGAGCTGAGGGACGACACCCAGGCCGGGTCCTGGAGGCTCTTTGGCGCTTAACTGAAGCTAAGCGTCTTAGGCTTGTCTTGCACGGGCTGGCTTTGAACCGCCAGCCTCAGCTCAGCCTCTGGGTAGCTGGGACGGCAGGCGTGAGCCACCGGCGCCCGGCTGGCCCTGAGGGACCGGCTGGCGGTCGCGATGCCTGCCCACGCGAGGGCCCAGCCTCCGCTCGCGTTGCTCTGGCCACGCAGTCCACAGGGAAGCCACGCCTCCCGCCTGCGCGCCTAGTGAGACGAGGGCGTCCCACCGAGGTCGCTGTTGGCACGGGTGGAAGTACCAAGGTCAGAACACTAATTAAAGAAGCGGGGGGGAGGGGGAGGCGTGCCAGCCGGCGGACCCCGGCGGCCGGGGGGGGGGGGCGAGGGGGCGTGGCGCCTCCCGCCCGACGCGCATGCGCGAGCGGCCAACCGTCAGGCCTGTCCTCGGCGCCTGATGAAAATGTCGAAATTCCCCCGCCCCTCCGTGGTATCTGTCTTTATTACTAAGAAATTCTACGTATCTCATGCTGGTGCGAAGTCCTCTCAGCCCGGCCCGCTCTTCACGTCAAGTCCCCCACGGAGACGCCTTTTTCCCCGAGGTACGCGCTCAGGCCAGCTGGCGGCACGCAGGCGCAATTTCCGCTCAGCGCAGGCACCGCGGTAGTCACCCGCGCCCTCGGGGGCGGTGCCACGTGTGGACCCGATGGACCCCGGC